GGAGTGTGTGTGTGTGTGTGTTTTTGTGTGTGTGTGTGTGTGTGTGGGCAAGACAGAGTGCGTGCATATAGACACACGCACACACACTGTCTCTCCCACACACGTGCAGGCATTCTCTCTCTCTCTCTCACACACACACGCACACACACAATTACGGGGTGAATTTGTATTTGCAGATACAATCTTTTTTGTTCAAAAAGCCAGTGTGCCGTTTTATAAATTCCTACTTTAGAAATAAAACCAGTCTGACTCCAAACCAAAGCTCAAATTGATTGTAAACACGTTTCACACCTAACATGCATTGTCTGACCTCAAATGTCACCTCTTCTTTACACTGATAAAACCTTTAGTTCTCTCAGGACAATGACTTCAAAAGAATTCGGGGATCTACATACACAAAATAATCAATTAAAACCTTCAAAGCCTCTCTGCTCCTATGATGCTGCTTGGCCTGCTGTGTTCATCCAGCCCTGCACCTTGTTGTCTCGGATTCTCCAGCATCTGCAGTTCCTACTATCTCTGATTCAATTAAAACCTTCTAACTGCTTAAAGACTTAACAGTGTATTAGGTTTGTTTAGTACTTCCTGATCAGTGGTGTGATACTTTGATCTTTTACTTATAAATTCTGTGTCAAATACTACCTCTCTCACTAACACCTGAAGGAGTGTCTCCAAAAGATTGCATTTTCATTTAAATGTGTTGGACTATGACTTGTGTGATTCATGTGATTTCTGACATTGGCAGATAAGGTTGAGGATAATCCAAAGAAATTCTGCAAGTACAGTAAGAGCATGAGATTAACTAGAGAGAGGGTTGGGTCCCTTAAAGATCAAGAAGATCATTCTTTGTGTTGAACCTCAGGAGATGGGAGAAATATTAAATGAATATTTCACATCAGTTGTTACTGTGGAAGAAGAAATGGAGTCTAGAGAATGCAGAGAAATAAATTTTGTTGTTTTAGAAACAGTTAACATTACAGAAGAGCACGTTTGGTAGGTCTTAGAGAATATAAACATGGATAAATCTCTGGGACTCGATCTAATGTATCCCAGAATGTTGTGGGAAGTAGGGGAGGAAATAGTGAGACCCCTTGCAGAAATATTTGCATCATCATCATCAGCCTGATGATGGCTAATGTTGTACCTTTGTTGGAGAAAGGTGATAAGGAGAAACCAAGGAACTATGGAACTGTGAGTCTGACATCCGTGGTGGATAAATTGTTGGAGGTAATTATAAAAGATATGTTTTATGGACATTTAGAGACAAAAACTTGATTAGGTGTAGTCAGCATGGTTTTGTGTGAGGAAAATCCTGTCTCACAAACTTGATTGTGTTGTTTGATGAAGTTACCAAAAAGATTGATGATGGCAGAGCAGTAGATGTTGTTTATTTGGATTTTAGTAAAGCCTTTGACAAGATTCCATATGGTAGACTAATTAGTAATGTTATATCACATGGGACTCAGGGTGAGCTTGCCAACTGGATACATAATTGGCTTAATGGCAGGAGACAGAGAGTGATGGTGGATGGTTGCTTTTCGTACTGGAGGCCTGTGACCAGTGATGTTCCACAGGGATTGGTTCTGGGTCCTCTTTTGCTTGTCATTTATATAAATGATTTGGATGAGAATATAGAAGGCATGGTTCGTAAGTTTGTGGATGACACCAAAATTGGTGGCATTGTAGACAGTGAAAAAGGTTTCTAAGATTACAAAGGGATCTTGATCAAATGGGTCAATGAGCTGAAAAATGGCAGATGGAGTTCAATCTGGATAAATGTGAGGTATTGCATTTTGGTAAAGCAAACAGGGGTAGGGCTTATATAATTAATGGTAGGGCCATGGGTAGTACAGAGGGACCTAGGGGTGCAGGTACATAACTCTTTGAAGTTTGTGTCACACATAGACAGGATGGTTAAAAAGGCATTTGGTACACTTCCCTTCGTTGCTCAGTTCTTTGAATATAGGAGTTGGGAAGTCCCGTTGAGGTTGTGCAGGACATTGTTGAGGCCTGTTCTGGAATTCTATGTCCAGTTCTGGTCACCTAGTTATTGGAAGGATATCATTAAGCTAGAGACGGTCCACAAGAGATTTACCAGGATGTTGCTGGATATGGAAGATTTGAGTTATAAAGAAAGGCTGGATTGTTTGGGACTTTTTTCACTGGAGCATAGGAAGTTGAAAGGTGACATTATAAAGTTTATAGAATAATGAGGGGTATAGATAGAGTTAATGGTAGTTGTCTTTTCCCTAAGATGTGGGATTTCAAGGCTTGGGGCAGATTTTTAAGGTGAGTGCAGAAAGATTTAAAAAAGATAAGAGCGGCAATTTTTTTACACGGAGGGTGGTTCGCGTGTGGAATGATGTTCCTGAAGAAGTGGTGGTTGTGGGTACAGTTACAACATTTAAAAGACATTTGGCTAAGTACATAAATAGGAAACGTTTGGAGGGATATGGGCCAGGAGCAGGCAGGTGGGACTAGTTTAGTTTGGGATTATGTTCGGCATGGACTGGTTGGACCAAAGGGTCTGTTTCTGTGCTGTATGACTCTATGACTCTATGACTCTGCGGCTGTGACTCTCACCTCTGGAATTCAGCTCCTTTTGTCCATGTTTGAACCAAGGCTGTGATGAGATCAGGAGCTGAGTGACTCTGGCGGAACCCAAACTGGGCGTCACTGAGCAGGTTATTGCTGAGCAGGTGCTGCTTGATAGCGCTGTTACTGACACCTTCCATCACTTTACTGATGATCGAGAGGAGACTGATGGGGCAGTAATTGATCAGGGTAAATTTGGCCTGTTATATGAGTACAGAACTGAATAGAATAGGATAGTACAGCAAGGGACAGACCATTCAGCTTGCCATGGCTGTGCCAACCATGATGCCATTCTAAACTAATCCCATCTAACTGCACATAATCTGGATCCCTCTGTTCCCTGCCTATTCATGTGTCTGTCTAAATACCTGTTAAAACACTGCTATTGTCTCTGTTTCTACCAACTGCCTGGCAGCACATTCCAGGCACCTACCACCTTCTGGGTAAAAGACTTACTTCCCACATCTCCTTTAAACTTTCCCTCTCACCTTGAACCTATGATCCCTAGTACTTGACATTCCTACCCTGGGAAAAAGACTGGGTCTATCCACCTTATCCATGCCGCTCATAATTTTATAAGTTCGCCCCTCACCCTCTGACACTCTAGTGTAAACAATCCAAGTTTGTCCAACCTCTCCTTTGAGCTAATACATTCCAATCCAGACAACATCCTGGTAAACCTCTTCTGCACCCTCTCCAAAGCCTCCACATCCTTCCTCTATTGTGGCAATCAGAACAGCATACAGTAATTCAAATGTGGTCTAACGAAAGGTTCATACAGCTGCAACATGCCTTGCCAACTTGTATACTTAGTGCCCCGACTGATGAACCAAGCATGCCATACGCCTTCTTTACCACCTTGTCCTCTTGTGTCACCAATTTCAGGGAGCCCTGTACTTGCACAGCAAGATCCCTCTGTATATCAATATTGTATATAACTCTGTTGCAGTCTCCTGAGAGTGTTTGATAGGGAACAGTGCATATAGGAAGCTTTTCTCTGTACCCAACCCAGTGCTGTACATGTCCTGGGAGTATTTTTTGGGGACAGTGTCAAGGGACCTTTACTCTGTATCTAGCCCCAGCCTATCCCTATCCTGGGAGTGATTGTTGGGAATAATACAGAGGGAGCTTTACTCTGTATGTAACCCCATACTGACCCTGTCCTGGGAGTGTTTGATGGGGACAGTGTAGAGAGAGCTTTACTCTGTATCTAACCCAGTGCTGTCCCTGTCCTGGGAGCATTTGATGGGGGACAGTGTAGAGGAAGCTTTACTCTGTATCTAACCCTGTGCTGTCCCTGTCCTGGGAGTGATAGTCGAGACCTGTTATACCACAAGGACCTTTGTACGTTTTGGCCTCAAGTCTTTTCCCATTCTTGGAGCAGTCCTGAATCGTGCCTGTCGCATTTCAAACACTGACGGAACAGTCCGGAAGGCTCTGCCACACCCACCACCTCTGTACTGTTGCCAAACCTGCTTTTCCTGGGTGTGCTGTGTTCAGACAAACTCAACCTGCCCAGGCAGATCGAACTCGGTCTGAAATAAAAGTCAAAGAGAAGCTCTGCAGAGGCTACCTTTCACTGTTAACGTCATTAACATCTGGATCACTGGGATTCAGACATTTATTGTTAAAGAGGGCTTGTGCACCAAGCCCCTTCTCACTGGGCATTGCTCCCTGACCTTCCACCTAACACCCCCAATAACACAATACAGTCCTCGGCAGAGTAAACAGGACCCAGCAACCCCTGTAACACTGCCAGCTATTAACAGCTAGGCTAGAAAGTTGTGATTGGGGTTTAATTGATGGGGGAAATGAGCCCATATGGTGATCAGAATGTAGGTACAAATTACTGCAGACACAGGATGTTGTTTTTAGTGCTGACCAGAATGTGTTGCATAGGATCCTGTAAATGCTAGTCAGTACCCTCTTATTCCAGTATCATACTACACACAGAGTGACCCCTAGGTTAGAGAGAGGGAGAGAGAGAGCAAGAGAGGCAATCAGCCAGAGTTCCTGCTCCTGATCACTGCCCAGTGATCTCTTGGTCAAGTGTCTGTGGGCCCACTGTTTGAAGTGATGACATGGACTGTGCTCTGATGCTGGCAGAGATAGAGAATGTGGTGTTGGAGCATCTGTTCCTGCAGCCACAAGAGCCCGTAGCCATTGGATGAGGAGCGTGCTGTGTAGGGAAATGGGGTGAAAGTAACTGAGGAGTTATTTCGCTAAAACTCACCATTTCTCACTGGCCTATTGGTGGGAGCACGAAGATGCATCTCAGTGGTTATTGAGGCCAACAGGGGCCTGACTTGCATACAGGATGATGTGGGCAGGGAAGGGTTAATGGGCTTTGGGCGGTACTTTATTAACTTGGAACACTTCCTGTCTCTGTGTAACAAGTTCTGCAAACACACAAGAGCAGTCAGCAATACCTAATAGGATTGCCGTGCAGAAATCAGTCACTTTGAGCAAAACCCACATCGCTGCTCCAGCACCGGTGGAAGGTAGGAAGCTGTGTCTGCGTTAGGACACAACAAGACGAGGATATTCTGTGTTTACTGTCTGGAAGTGTACAGAAACAACAGGGCAAAGGATCACTCACATGAGAGGATTCATGGATGGATCACAGACTGTAGCACAGACAGACAGACAGAGAAAGAGACAGAAAATCAAACACAGAGAAAGAGTCAGATAATTAACTAAAGATAGGAAGACGTTAAGATAGACAGACAATCAGATAGAGACAGACACAGGAAGTTGGACACTAAATCACAGACAAACAGGAGGCTGGAAGAACACAGCAGGCCAGGCAGCATCTGGAGAAAAGGAGCAGTCAAAGTTTCGAGTATTACCCTTCTTCGGGACTACTTTTCTCCAGATGCTGCCTGGCCTGCTGTGTCTTTCTAGCCTCCTGTTTGTCTATCTTGGTCTCCAGCATCTGCAGTTTTTTTTGTCTCTAACTAAATCACAAACAATCAGGCAGCTAGCCAGGGAGAAGAGTGGCAGTCAGACATTCGTAGCGATCGACAATCCATCAGAGGGAGTTTACCAGACAGAGAGGGGAATAATTAAACAGAGCAAAACACAGCCAGCCAATCAAACAGAAAGCCAGACAGACAATCACAGAGACAACTCAACAAACAGAGTGACAATCAGACAGACAGAGAGAATTTGATTTTGAGTGCCTTTTCTTGGCTTTACCAGCCAGTAATAGAGTTAGAATTGTGTCAGTAAAGGAATTCCTGAAGTTGTTTTAAAATTCATTCACAGAAAATGCTCGTTGCTGGCTGGGTCAGCGTTTATTGCCCGTCCCTAGTTGTCCCTTGAGAAGGTGGGGGTGAGCTTCTTGAACCGCTGCAGTCCATGTGCTGTGGGTTGACCCACAATGCCCTTAGGGAGGGAATTCCAGGATTTTGACCCAGCGACAGTGAGGCAACACCAATATATTCATAGAATCATAAAATTATAAAGTACAGAAGATGTCATTTGTCTCATCGAGCGTGCACCAACAAAAATTACTGCAGATCTACACTAGTCCACTTTCCCACACTAGGCCCATAGTCTTGAATGTTATGACATTTTGAAAGCTCATCAAGTACTTTTTAAAGGTTATGAGGGTTCACGCCTCAACTACCTTCCCAAGTAGTGAATTCCAGAAATGCTCCGTGCCCCGGGTGAAAAATGGCTCCTCAAATGCCCCCCTAAATCTCCTGCCTTTCACCTTAAAATTGTGCCGCCTTGTTATTGACCCTTCAACTAAGGGGAACAGCTGCATTCTATCAACCATGTCCATGCCCCTCATAATCTTACACACCTCAATCAGATCCCCGCTCTACTCCAAAGAAAACAACCTGAGCTTATCCAGCTTCTCTTCATTGCTGAAACACTCCATCCCAGGTAACATCCTGGTGAATCTCCTCTGCACCCTCTCCAGTGCAATCAAATCCTTCCTATAGTGTGGTAAACAGAACTGGACACAGTACTTCAGCTGTGGCCTCACCAAAGTTATGTACAGCTCCAACATAATTTCCCTGTTCTTTTAATCTATGCCTTAACTGAAAAAGGAAAGCATCCTGTATGCTTTCTTAACGTCTCTAACTGTCCTGCCACCTTCAAGGATCTGAGGACAATCACCACAAGATACCTCAGTTCCTCTGAGCTTCCTAGTGTCCTGCCATTCCATGTTTCCAAGTCAGGATGGAGAGTGGCTTGGAGGGGAACTTGCAGGTGGTGGTGTTCCCATTTATCTGCTGCCCTTGTCCTTCTAGATGGAAGTGGTTGTAGATTTGGAAGATGCTGCCTAAAGATCTTTGGTGAATTTCTGCAGTGCATTTTGTAGATTGTACATACTGCTGCTACTGAGCGTCAGTGGTGGAGGGAGTGGAAGTTGTGGGAATGCAATGCCAAAAAGGCCTGAAGCTATTGTACAATGCTGCACATTGTGATGCAGTTAATGCTGTGGAATCGTTTGTTCCCACTTAATGGGACCTTGGTTTAACACCTCAAGAGAAAGATGTCCTCCCACCCCTGGTGATGGGAGTCTCAGAGTGGGTCTGGTTGGGAAGTGAACCTATGACCCTCTGACTCAGGCTGAGAGTGCAACCGCTCAGATAAGGGTGTGAGGTCAGAGAGGAGGATACAGGGATCCACAAAATACAACCTCAGCGTTTAATACAACATTATTGAACTACACTGTGTGTACAACATAGAAACTGGACAAATACCACAACTCCTTAATGTCAGCGACAATGTTTCAACTGAGCTCCCCTCAGTTCACTTTTTCACATCCTCCACTATCTAGTTTCTCTTTAAGGCACGTACAATATCTACGTCAACTCGAGGTACAGGGGAGGTCCCAGAGGATTGGAGAATAGCCAATGTTGTTCCTTTGTTTAAGAAGGGTGGCAGGGATAATCCAGCTAATTACAGGCCGGTGAGCCTTATGTCAGTGGTAGGGAAATTATTGGAGAGGATTCTTCGAGACGGGGTTTACTCCCACTTGGAAATAAGTGGGCATGTTAGCGAGAGGCAACGTGGTTTTGTGAAGGGGACGTCGTGTCTCTCTAATTTGATTGAATTTTTTGAGGAAGTGACGATGATGATCAATGAAAGTAGAATAGTGAATGTTGTCGACATGGACTTCAGTAAGGCCTTTGACAAGGCTCCTCGTGGCAGACTGATACAGAAGGTAAAGTCGCACGGGGTCAGAGGTGAGCTTGCAAGATGGATAAAAAAACTGGCTCGGTCATAGAAGACAGAGGGTAGCAATGGAAGGGTGAGTTTCTGAATGGAGGGCAGTGACTAGTGGCGTTCCTCAGGGATCAGTGTTGGGATCTTTGCTGTTTGTAATATATATAAAAGATTTGGAGGAAAATGTAACTGGTTTGATTATTAAGTTTACGGATTGTGGATAGCAATGACAACTGTCAAAGGATACAGCAGGATATAGATTGGTTGGTGATCTGGGCAGAGGGATGGCAGATGGAGTTTAATATGGAAAAATGTGAGGTAATGCATTTCAGAAGGTCCAATCCAGATGGAAAATATACAATAAATGGCAGAACCCTTAAAAGTACTGATAGGCAGGGGGATCTGGGTGTACAGGTACACAGGTCACTGAAAGTGGCAACGCAGGTGGAAAAGGTAGTCTGCAAGGCATACAGCATGCTTGTCTTCATCGGCCAGGGAACCGAGTTTAAAAATTGTCAGGTAATGTTGCAGCTTTATAGAACCTTAGTTAGGCTGCATTTGGAATATTGTGTTCAATTCTGGTCACCACACTACCAGAAGGATGTGGTGGCTTTGGAGAGGGTACAGAAAAGATTTACCAGGATGTTGCCTGACATGGAGGACATTATCGATGAGGAGAGGTTGGAGAAACTTGGGTTGTTCTCACTGGAACAAAAGAGGTTGAGGGGCTACAAGATTATGGAGGGCATGGACACAGTGGACAGTCAGAAGCTTTTTCCCAGGGTGGAAGAGTCAGTTACTAGGAGGTATAGATTTAAGGTGCGAGGGGCAAGGATCAAAGGTGATGTACGAGGCAAGTTTTTTACACAGAGAGTGGTGGGCGCCTGGAACTCGCTGCATGGGGAGGTGGTGGAAGCAGATACGATGGTTACTTTTAAAGGACGTCTTGACAAATACATGAATAGGATGGGAATAGAGGGATACGGTCACTGGAAGGGTAGGGGGTTTAGTTATGACGGGCAGTGTGTCGGAGCAGGCGTGGAGGGCCGAAGGGCCTGTTCCTGTACTGGAATTTTCTTTGATAACAAGGTATAGAGCTGGATGAACACAGCAGGCCAGGCAGCATCAGGGGACCAGGAAAGCTGACGTTTCGGGTCTGGACCCTTGTTCAGAAACGTTTCTGAACAAGGGTCCAGACCTGAAGCGTCAGCTTTCCTCCTCCTCTGGTGCTGCTTGGCCTGCTGTGTTCACCCAGCTCTATACCTTGTTATCTCAGATTCTCCAGCATCGGCAGTTCCTACTATCTCTGTAATTTTCTTTGTTCTTTTGTTCTTAGTCCCTGTGGGACCAACTTCCACATTCTCACCACTCTCTGGATAAAGATGGGTTTACCTGAGTTCCTGTTTCGATTCATCAGTGACTGTCTTATCATGATGGGCCCGAGTTCTGTACTCCACAAAGGTGGACACATTTCGTCTGCTTCTAGCCTATCTAACCCTTTAACCATTCTAAAGAAGAGTCACTACAATTGAAACATTAACTCTCTCTCTCTTTCTCTCTCCCCACAAATGCTGCCAGACCTGCTGAGTTTTGCCAGCAATTTCCGTTTTTGTTTCAGATCTCCAGCATTCGCACTTCAATGTTTTACTTTGTTACCCTTTTATCTGTCAGGTCACCTCTCAGTTTTCTCCTTACCTGAGGAAAGACCTCTAGCCTGTGCAGATTTTCTTGAGGGGAATTAAGTCTGACAAGTATTGAGTCTGATACAATGATTGTAAATTTTTCCCAACTCCTCTTATGTCTGACAACAAGGTGCAGAGCTGGATGAACACAGCAGGCCAAGCTCCTATGATGCTGCTTGGCCTGCTGTGTTCATCCAGCCCTGCACCTTGTTGTCTCGGATTCTGCAGCATCTGCAGTTCCTACTATCTCCTCTTATGCCTGTCTGTGTTTTTTACAACCTGGAGAGCGGACCTGTTACTCAATGCTTGGTCGAGCCACATTTCACAAAAATTTGAACTAACTTTTGTACTCTGTTCCTCCCGAAATGAGCTCCATTGCTGTCTCTGATTTTTCTAATTAACCTGTGTCAATACTATTCATGATTCGTGTATCTGCAGCCCAGTATCCCTCAATCCCATTTCACAGATTTATTTCCCAGGGATTTGTAACATGCTTATTATTCCAGCCAAAAACTATCACCTCACACACATTCACTTTGAGTGCATTTACCAACTTCATGTGCTTTTTGCAAATGTATTCAGACATTAATCTTATTAGCACAATAATTATTAGTTATACTCGTGGTTAGCAC